AGTAATAATCATAATTATAGTAATATATAATTATAGTTACAAATACCAAACATTTTTCTCTGTGTGTAGAACAAATAATTTAAAAAATAGATATTTTTCGACCTCCCCCGACTTATTATCACTTTTTATTTGAGTCATAACAAAGATGGGAAAATCCCAAAACGAAGCTGTTAGGCAGTCGTTTTGTAGACAAACGGGATCCTATCAACAAGATTATTATCAACATTACAGCCGAAAAATATCAAAATTCTAAAAGGTCCTATTCTGCATAATTACCGTTCTGACAAGTAAAATGTTACAATAACCAAATTAGCTTCAACTAAATTATTTTATTGCATCAGTCAAAGATCTTTTAGCCAATTTCAAACTGAAAATTAGTTGATTCTACCAAATGCGATTTTCAGTGCAGTAAACTAATTGTCTTGGAAAATATTGTCTTATCTTTTTTCTCTTGAAAAGTGTACTTATTTATTTAATGAGTATTTAAAAAAACAATGTTACATAACATTGTATCAATCAAAATTTAACGATTGGAATATGAAGATTAAAATATTTTTTTAGCTTATAACTACAGCAATATCCTACTTTACTGTAATATATACCATGACAATGAAGTAATACAAAATAAAAGTTTTAATTGAATATAGAAGTTTAAATATAGTGATACTTGCACGTATTGATTAGCGAAGATAATTAAGGATTTCTAGGTAAGTAATTATTTATTTAAACAAAACATAAACGTCTCTGTTATAACAAATTTAAACATGTGCTGTTCAGCAAACCAATGACTGAACAGGTACTATGCCCGGACAGTTACACATAAGATTTAATATTTATTAATCTAAAATGTTTCTTTCTGTTACAATATTATAATTTAATTGTATTTAAAAATTATTTTAAAAAGCATTTGAGATTAATAATAATATAAGTATATAAAATTTTGTGTAATTATCTGGACATACAGGTAGATACGTAGGTCCTATCGCTGGAATGTTTACCTTAATATTAGCATCAACACGAAAAAAATTATTTTTATTTCTAGCACTTGACATATAATACGTACAAACGGAAATTATGTATCAATAATAAATAATGATGTAATTTATTAAAGAGAACACTGAATCAACAAATAAAATTTATTGAACTGTATCTCATTACGTAAATGTTTTCGCGAGCATTTTCAACATACATTTAATTGAAAATTGTTAATCCTCTTCTTATACATATAAAAAATGCATGTAATTTAGTATATTTCTAAATTTTAATTGTGAAATTTTTTTTTATTTTAACAATAAAATTTAATAGAACTTAGAAACACATAAAAATGAAACTATAAATCCTGCACAAATAGAAATGCACAAATAGAAATGCACAAATAAATATGCACAAATAGAAATATTGAAATATCTAAATAAGAATATCATCGTTATCATGTTATAACAATCTCTCTCTCTCTCTCTCTCTCTCTCCCTCTCTCTCCCTTTTTTATCGAATTTTATGTAAAAAACATACTAAATTAATGATAAACCAATTTTATATTTAACTCTACGTATGCAAAATTCAATTGACCTTTTCATTCTTCAGATGTAATGTATTGTGGTATATTGCTCCATTGTCGCTATAACTACTGTTTTAATGCATCGTACAAAAAAAATTTTAAAGCGGTTCTTTGTAATATGTTCCTAACATCGCAGAAAGATTTTGCCATAGTAATATATGTATAACAGTTAATAATAATATATGTGTAACAATTAAGAAGATGTATATCACATAAAAACAAAAGTTTCGAAAAGATTTTAATAGAAAATTTGATTTTTATATAATTTTGCACAATTCGCAAAATTTAAATGTACAATTCAATTATATAGCTATAAGAACTAGAATTAATTTTGTTTTTTAAAGTAGAAATGTAAAAAAGAGATATACTACTGTAGCTTTTAACCACATCCTTATTTTATTTAACATTAATTTGCATTCTACAATAGCGATATAGCATAGTTGAGATACTTATTCGCATCCTAATGCATATGTGATGTTAAAATACAAATTCCGTAGCATGTATCTACTGAAAATGGTAAAATATGTAATTATTAAAACTATTATAGCTTATGTGTGTATTTAAGATACGGTATATGTTTATATTTAAGTCAATTATTTTGTCAAACCTTCTATTACGGACTTTGTAAAGATCCACGAATGGAATTATCTTATGAAACGCTAATTTTTAATTTTAAATATAATAAACATTTTATTTGTACGTATGACTTCTTTCTGTGCAATTTTACTTTCGCCTCTTTATGTTACGTTTAAAAGTATCAATATTATAAAATAGAAATTTCTAAAATGCATTCTTAAAATTGGCTTATAAGAGGCTTATTTTATGAAGATTTCACATATAATTTACGAAATAATGATGAAATAATACATATATTATTTGTTATATTAAAATTATATATTTACTGAAATCACTATTATATCATTGAGAATGATATTTTAAAGAAGGTCTACAGTATAATGTCTTACATTAGAACATTCTTTTATACTATGCAAAGTAAAGTAATCAACAAAATTTGAACGTTTGGCACGATCATAGGGCACACGCGGAGAACCGCAGCGCGTTTTGATTATAAGTAGGCCGCATGCTAGTTGAAATGTTGTTATCTCACTTCGGCAAGCACTCAACTCATTCGCGTGCAGCAGTACCGTACGTGTGCCTCATTATTACATCCGAATCCTATAATAGTAAACAATACCGACTCTTACAAAAAAAACTCAATAAAATACATGCGTATAATACATGTAATACCTTATGAAAGCAGAATGCTTTTGAAACGCTAATATCTAATGTTTCACTATAAGGTATCTTCAATCGCTTTAACGTAGAACGTAGACATATTTGTTGGAGTTTGTTATACTGTGAATACTCTCACACTAAGTTACATCGAACTGCGCCGGTTCAAACTATAAGAACGAAATAAGATGAATTTTTTTATAACACTGACAACTGTTGTGAAATAATTTTATGGAATGTAATGTATCATTATTTCAAATGATGTGCGACATTAAAAACGACTATTGATGGGATTATAGCACTTTTTGTTCTCACTGCGTAATTATAGAAAATTACTAAATTATATCGTCGTGTCACATATTTTTTTTTTTGCCTACGAGAGATGTTTTACGCAAAATAAAAAAAATGTTCAGTACGCTTCGTGATACGATATTATTCGGAATATATCCGTTTATATTTTCATTCGCAAATTTATTCCGTCTGCTCAGTGAGATGGTTTTTTCTGGTGAACGTTATTACAATATTTATCGAATTATGTTTACAGCGATTGGTTTGTGGCCTTATCAAACGTCGATTGTTAAGCAAATACTATCAATGTTCTTCCTTAGTGCATATTGTTTTATTCTTTTGTTCCAGGTATCTATCGATTCTTTTTTTTCTTACATATAATGTTTTCTTTAATGATTATTTATTACATAAATTTGGTATATTGTTATCATATTT